TGGGCTTACAACTTCATTCAGAGTCCATTAGTAGAGCCTAAGGAGGAGCTTCATTAAATTGGGCCAAATGGACTCCATAATACATTATAACCAAATCGTTATTAATTTAAAAAAAGAAAAGAAAAGAAAATAAAGGAAAACAATCAAAGAGCAATATAAGCCACAACCATAAAACTATCTAAGCTTAGTGTGGCAACCATTAAAATTAATTATTTTTAATTATATTAGATTTTTTTTAGTTAATCTTTTGGTATCTGGTAACTACATAGGTCTCAATTAATTCAAAATTAAGTTATGTCGGATCCCATTAGAAAAAAACTCACTTAACACTTGTTTTTTCATTTATAAAACTTGAATTCGAGACCTTGAGTAAGAAGAACCGAACTCCTTCTACCTTCTATTTGAACCAAACAAGTCATTAGTATTGTATTAGATTAATATGAAAATGTATTTTTAGTTCCTCCTATTTGGGTAAAGTTATTTGTCATTTAACTGTTAATAAAAATATTATCATGAATTAAATATTCGACTTCCCAAAAATTTCCTTTCTTTATCCCTTAGTAAGTTAGTATAGTAGTATAGTAGTATAGTAGGTATGGTTGTAATTTGTTAAAAAAATAAAAATATACTGTAATTATAAATATTAATAAAAAAAAAAAAGGATACTTCAAAATTCGATTATGCATGCAGAGAATACAAGCTAAGTTTTTTTCTTATGTCCCGCTCGAGTCATATTGTTCTATGTAGTCTAGTCCCTAGCTTTGTGTCCAGCAATTCAAGTACATGACTCTCTGAAGCGACTTTTCGGCCTGTCTTCTGTTTTCCTCACTTTCACCGCCGCCACTTCCTCCGCAAAATCTCTCATCTACAGTCGAAAAGCTCCTCTGGTTGCCCACGTTAAGAGGCCGCCGACTCGAATTCAACTTGGACCCGTAATCTCCATGACCCTCCCCGGCAACAACACTAGCTGCTGCCATCCAAACTCTATTCATCAAAAGACTCATCTTGTCTTTTTGCCTTCTCTTTTCTTGATTCTTGCTTTACCGTTGGTTCCTTCTATATATAGAGTAGAGGATACATAGGAATGGAACATTTGGTTGGCGAGGACCGTGGTTTTAGATACAAGAACCACTTTTTGATGCAACTGGCAAACCCTGGTTTCTGGTTATACCGGAGGCGGGATATTTGTTTGGATCGATGCTTGCTTAGTTGCTTGTCAATTTTTCCGCAGGTATCTGCCAAAAGTGGCAGCCCCTAGTTCAACTGTTGAAACAGATAATTTCCCTTTTTTT